AAGGACTGGTGCACACTCCCTGCAACAATGAGTCAAATTTTTCTCTGGGAAATGTGTCATCAAGCCTTGGGATTTGTTGTCGGCCTGATTGGTGAAAATGGCAACTTTAATGTTTCCCTTTTGCATTTCCTTTCAGTAAACTATTGGCCCAGAGCTCTTTCCCTTTTCTCCATTGCAGTTTTGAACTGATTTCTCGTAAGTCTTTATATATTAAGGAAGTTAGCCCTTCATCTATGTTGTGAGCTGGAAGTATCCTTGCCCAATTTCCCACCTGCATCTTCACTCTGGTGTTCTTGATTACAAAAGTCACGTTATGCTAGTTTGTGGTGTAGTTTTTAAATCTTTCTCATCTAAAGTGTCTCCCTGCTTCAAATCATCAAGCACATTAGAGGTGGTCTTATTGGTTTACTTACAGTTTCTCTCAGTCCATTTAAATCTTAAATTGATTGAAAGTTTGCCTTTAAAGTTCTTGAGACAGTTTTGTGCAGCCCAGGCTGACCTTGAACTTGTATGTAACTGAAGATGACCTTAAACTTGTGAGCCTCTTGCCTCACTACCTCCAGAGTTCTGTGCTGCTGGCTTCAATGTTATCATTCTGGACTGGAAAGGGGCTGTGGATCCAAGACCATGTTTCCCTAACCCTCCCTTCCACCTTGAAACACTCTGCCTGTGGCTTTTAGGGCTCTATGAAAGACACAGAAAGACTCCATTTTAAAAGGAGGGGGTCATCATTCAGTAATCTGCTCTTCCTATTCATCTCTCTTCTCTTAAGTTTCATTTACCTCTGGTCCATGAGCTGAGAATTCACAGTTTATGTGATGGCTCCAGACTCAGACGGATGCCTCCATTTATACTGAGCCTTTCAAATGTCAAATGGTCAAGTCTGACCCCATCAAGCCTGCCCTTCCCCAAGGTGGAAGACATCACAGCCATGCTGGAGCCTTTGACCTCCCCTAAGGCAAAAGATGGCACAGCCATGCTGGAGTCTTTGACCAGAGGGTGGAGCTGGAAGCAAAAACAGACTGGTTCCATGTCTCCCTTCTTTCTCTACATCTATCATCCTCCAATCTGCTAGCTTGATTTCCAAAATCACATCTCAGACCATCTACTTGGCCCCATCTGCTCTGCCTCTGCTACGGTCTAGGATCCCTCACTTGCTAAACCAAACCCTCCCTCAGGTCTCCTGTGTCCGCTCATGCTACTGGGAGATTTGGCAAACCTCATGTCATCCATATCAATCCATTTGCCCCTTTCTTCCTCCCCACTTCTCTCTCTCTCTCTCTCTCTCTCTCTCTCTCTCTCTCT